TGTTGACTAACTGTACTTAAGTGAAACGCATGTGTGAAGCCTTTCCCTGTCCCCTATTGCAGGAGGATCTGAAGTTGTGAGAGATTTTGTTGTTAATGTGAGTTTTGGAAGTCTCTCAAGAAGCACAGTGCATATCCACGTTTGTTGTTGATTTGATGACGGCTTTTTGTATAACCATTCATAATATTATGCTATTAAAAACAAAGCTGTAAAACACTGATCTGAATGATGAATCATTAATGAAACTTGAGTATTTATAAAAAAAAAAGAAAAGAAAAAAAGGGTACTTTATTTTACAAAATCAGAAGCGAGCAGCTCAGACGGCACATCTATTTGACGGTGATGTTTATGATGCTGCTTCGCTACTCCCTGAAACAGACTCAGCTGCACCACACGGATGTTCTCTTGTTTGCCCAGGATCCGCACACACCTTGACAGCAAAAACATTTCAGACACACAGTAAAAGAGAGATACTTTCAGAACTGCTGAAAAGATTCATATTAACATTTTCTCGTTCTCGGTCTCGTTCTGTATCGCGTATATTGTCAGTGTCTGCGCTTGCTTGGCCATTTGTTGCGGATGAAAATAAGGAAAGTGTGTTCAAGCGCCAGCAGAAAACAGTGTAAAGAAATAGTCTTTGAGAGAAGCAGTCCTTATCAGCGGAAGTTAAAAGCAGCTCGTAAGTGTATTTACTTGTCTCATTAGTGTGTAGTGCAGTTGTCGTTAGTAGGAAACGCTTGTTTTGTTTACTGTGTGGAGACGTGCTGATATCACGTTTGGTCTCGTTCTGTATCGCGTATCTTGTCAGTGTCTGCGCTTGCTTGGCCATTTGTTGTGGAGAAAATAAGGAAAGTGTGTCCAGCTGAATTAATTTAGTATTTTGTTAGACGGGTATAAAAAAGCTTAGTTTACCGCGACAGCGGTCGCGTGAAGGCCTCCTCGTGTGAAGACCGAAGAGTGTAAAGACCATCGACTCTACCGTGCGACTCCACCGGGCAGGACACCGGCAAAGGATAAGTATCGCTTTTTATTTCTCCTCTTTCCTACTACTTGTTTCACTTCTGTTTCAGTTTTTATAACCATTTCTTACTATGTGAAAGTTGTTGTATTTTAGCATGTGTGTTTGGCAGTGTTATTTTTTAGGATTACTGATAAACTACTGTCATTTGATTTGTATTATTTGTATTTGTTATTTATTTTAATTTTAGTTAAATTATGTCTGAATTTATTATGTCTGTATAGGTCTTTAATTACGTTTTTAGTTTTATTTAATTTGAGTTATTTTAATACTTCAACAAACTAAATGGAAATGAAAAAATATATATAATGAATTTATAAATGTGTATATATACAGTATATATATATCTGTGTGTGTGTGTGGTTGTACATACACATAAGTAGTTGTTTTTTTGGTGTTTGGTTTAGTGTTATGTTAGAATCATTATTATACTCTTATACCTTTTGTTCTTTAATATTTTGAATAGTTTTTAGCTTTATTTTT